CCAGTGCGGAAAAATATGCAACAAACAGAGATCGGGTAAAAAGACTTTTTAACTTTTCGAGCGTAAGGTTTTCATCTAAAGACAGAGAAAGGTTATTGTGAGACGTCTTGAAATGAGAAAAAAAACTTGTCAAGAGCACAAATATGGAAGCGCATATTTACTGGAATCATCCGAGCCTTGCCCACCAAACACTACGATCCATACTACGCTGACTATGACGACAAGAGTGCCAATGATATCCTTCTTTGTAATGCGCGTGCCGACCAGCACCCGTGCGAATACAAAGTTGAAAATGAGTGCAACCGACCCGAGCGGAGCAACCCACTGTGCTTTCAAAAAGTCTAGGGACAAAGTTTGGATTGAGATTAGGTCTTTTGTTGTTTATAGTAGAATGTTATTGCGCATTTTGACAATCTTACATAGTGCAATCGTGCTTCCAAACAGCTGACTGAGGACGTAAAGGTACAAGCCAACATGCCACAAAGGACGACCACATTCGTTGCGTTGACGCTCAGCCGGTTGTTCAGAGTTTTTTATGTGGTCCAAGTTTAGCAAGTTTAGACCGGCAGCGTTCATTATACTAGCGATTACGGACACCAAAATGCCAACGATAAACGAAAGCCAAGTAGTCTCTGTGTCTGCCATGGTGACAAGATCTGTGAGATTGAAGAGGCGGGAAGGAGAGGAGAGGGAAAAAGGAGTGAGGGAACTATATAAGTAGTAGAAGTGGATAAATAATATTTGTAAGGAATGTAATAATAAGGGAATGGGAGACTGATAAATATAAACCTAAATACCAAAAATAAAATTAATATTTATATATTAATATTCGAAACACGATTTCACCCCTTCCTAACAGAGTAATGCATTGACAAAACGAGAATTTAAAGAACAAATTCAGACTTACTCTTACTTTTCGAAAAAAACAAAAAGAAAGGTCTGCGTCTAACCAAATGCAAATGCAGAATGTTTATTATAGTAACCGGGAAAAGTGAACATCCGCACGACTGACACTAGTACGCAGTTTGCATAATGTGTATTTGCATTACAGACGTATTTGTTCAAAAACGAACTTTATCTAGATTTAGTCCGCAGTAGGAATCACAACGCATTGTCCGGAATATTCCATTTATGCTCGACCAATCACGGGTTCACATGCTGTAGTTACAAAGTTATATCGGAATAAAGATTACAAAGTAGCCTGTTTAGAAATTCATTATAATAATAGTAACAATGGTTTAATAATAATAATAAGATTTCGCAGAGTAAGCGTATTTAGCAATTCAGTATCACTACACAAGCTGACACCAATGGTATTGAACGATCGTGTCACCAAACAATTAAACAAATAAATTAGGTCCGAGCTTTTTCTGCTCTTATTTGCTGTGTTCTCATAATTACAAAGTGTCAGTCCTCGGTATAACCTGCCGCGAATCTAATCTGTCGAGATGAGCAATTTTGATTGCACGACAACCGAATCAATCATTCGATCCCCCAGATAAAGAGAGAGGGAGATTGTAAATCACACGATTAACCTATCTCCCAAGCTTTTTTTTTTTATAAATGACATGCATAAGGGGAGGGAGAGGTTTGATATTTCATAATTAATTGCTTTTAAACCCCATTCATGACCAATCAGTTTAATTGTGATTACAACACATCCAGACTTGTAAAGGGATTGTCGGGCCCATATTGAACCTACTTTTGACCACAGACAATGTTTATTTGATACAACCGGAAAAGTACTTTGCGTCCATTAGACTCCATCGACATTGTCAGGCTAAAAATGTCTCGTTGTCAAAGAAAGCGCACATATGGACAACACATATATAAACATCCCTTGTTATAGTTTATGCTTGTTTGCCGTAATACAGCAGATGTGACAAGATGTCTTGCATGTAATGACAATTATCGTTTAAATCGAGCGTTACTTGTTTGCAAGAGCGTTTGTTATATTGCCAGTGTTAAATATTCAATGTTTCTTATTCCTCGCTTGTGAGAAAAATGTAGTACATTCTATATTGTATGGACAGAATTGGAAAAACTATATAATGACCACATTGAAGGTTTGAATGATGTGTAACTAGTGGCTGATTTAAAAGACATTATCGGTAAGTTATTATTATGGTGAAAGGGCCTTTGTTCAAAAAGAGCAGGACATTTACTTATTAGCCATATTGGTATGTTACGGTGCATTGCTTAATGATCATTTAATATCAATGGTCTGCAGTGTTAAGCGATTAGCAATCATAAAACAAGACTAAACAAACTATTATTTAAATATGTGCGTAATAATGGCATTGTTCTTGTGTAAGGCTTCGAAGGGAAATAGCAATAGAGTATTGTTATATAGGCTGAAACAGTGTTTACGGTGGCATTTGTTTTTTATACGGATACGGGTTCACTATATTAACAAAGATAGAACATTCCAGAGTTTTAGATGAATGTAAAGAGTGAATCCATATGTTTAAGGCCAAGCACATGTACCCAGCTGGGCGACTGACGTTTCAGTAGCATATGGTTTTAGGCACACGGCGCAGACATATATCAAGTTAGCTCACGTCAACAGTTGAGTAAATCATCAACACATAGCTTGGTTTTTTAGCTTGGTGTTTTTGCTAGATATTACATTACGCTTGAATGTTGTAACGAAATCAGTCATCAAGTTGCTGAGAAATAAGAGTTCGAGCATAACTCAGTTTTTATATTCATGGAAGTGAATTTGTTCGAAGGCATGTTATACGAGTAAAATTAGATTTCGAACCTAGTAAAGTCAAATTTAATTAATATCACCACTTATTGGAAATAATCCGGCGTTCCATCAAAACTCTTGAATCGGTTAAAGCACAATAGTATCTCCATATCCTCTTCTGAAAATCGCAGTATAAACTGTTTCATAACCACCAGATCCAATCTCTTCGAGTTCGCTATGCTGCATGTATATACTTAATTTTAGCACAGCGGACGTATTTTCATGATGGACCATTGAATCGTCTTTTCGAGCACATGGTTCTTGGACGATCAAATTATCCAAATATTACCTGGTTTTGCTTATCAACTATCTTTTTGAGTGTCACACGTGTCAATTCATGTGTTGCTATACGTATATGGAGTCAAAACAAAAATGGGTTTATCTCTGGTTCTAGAAATTTGTACGCGCCAGCATAATACATCCTCATATTTTGGCTTTATTAGACAATACTTCTGTTTGCTGTTTGGATTGCATCATATGTGAATCTGATGGAGGGTTTAAATATAATTATGTTAAACACATTAGTTTAGGTTACACCCATTCAATGCGATTGCGTCGTCATTAAATTGAACAAGCATTAAAGAAATGTTTCATAATAAAAGTTGTAAGAATGGCCATCCCTTGAATATCGGTATTCTCACAGATTTTTATCCATATATTTTAATTCGCGCAGCACGTCTCATCTTAATTACATTTTTATATCATCAATTTAACCTCGTGACGATGAGTTTACGATCGCATCGACATTGCAGGAGTTGGCGATAATTGGCATTAGCGTCGTCATTGGAGCGATCCATTCAGACGAGTAATATGGTTGACTTTTTTGAATATTTTTAGTTAAATTGAGTTTCGCAAATTATTCTAAAAATTATAAACCACATGTTTATTACGGCGCGAGCACGAGACTGTAATGCAAAAATGCTCCATATATTATTCAAGCATTAAGATATTAATTTTGATTTGAAGCTTCTTTGAAGCTTCTTTGAAGCTCACAGATTCTTTCATCTTTAAGGACTCTTTTTTTAAATTCCTCATGAGTAAGGATAAGATTTCCCATTTGATTCAAAATTTTCCTTGAAATAGAACCGTTCAGGCCCTAGACGAGCCTTTATGTATATATAAATTTTTTAATACAATAAGTAAGTTTTCGTTACTACTGGTTTTGTATCCGGGCATAAAAAGTGGAGTGCAGTATATCGCATGAAGCATCAAATGCAATCCGTATGTTTAATACGAGTTTATCCTTAAGAGTTTTCTTATCTAGCTTTTTAAATACCTATCATACATTAATCGTGCGATGTCGAGTCCCAATCATGAATGCTTATCACAGTTGAGTAAATTAGTAAAATAGAATTGCTGGTTTAGAGGACTCCAACAGAGCCTTTTCGGGACAAACAATGACGTTATGGCAAATTGCGATGTTTTTCAACAAGTAATTGATTTTATAGTGTATAGTTGCTGAGAATTTTATCGCTTGACTCGTTTATCTGATTTATGTAAAAGTAACTCTCTAGAGAATTATGGAGTACAGATAGTTCAGGATAATACCTAGCCTTTTCCATTATTTCTTCGGCTGACACACAAACGCCTTTGATTTTTGTCTACTAAGACTAACTGACTTTCGACAAGAGAATCAATAAATTTTTGGAGTCTTCTGGTCTTGCAATCATACTCTCGCGTTTTTTCCCCAATAATTGTGACAGATTAAAACGACATCGGATTAAAACGACTTTTTTCCTATTTTAATATGAAATTGTTAGAAAATTTTTGGGGGTAATTTTTTAGATTTTTTTTTTTAAATTTTGAACTAGAATTAGGGTGGTGTTTGATAATAGAAGAGTATATGTGGGTTTCTGAGTTTTAAGGGTGGACTCAAAAAGACCCCAAAAGTCGTTCTAATCCGATGTCGTTTTAATCCGCCACAATAATTTGTATTATCCCGGAATTCAAAGGCTATCTTGTCTCTCCATTGTTTTGCTTTTCTGTGCTGTAAAAAAATCTCTCACCGATCAAATTAAAAAGATATTTGTCATAGTTATTGTCCGCATAAACCATCTCATAAACACAATCTCGAAAATTGCTACAAATTCGTGAACCGATACAACCTATACCTCAGATGAATGTAGCTAAGCTTAGTAGTTACGCCGAAGAATTAGTCAAACAATTGAAAGATCAAAAAAACACGGGATTATGCACAAAATTGAATCCGGGAATTAGGCTTGGAAATTTTTATGTACTGGAAATAAATACTGTGATGTAAATTATGAAAATTAAACAAGAATCTAATTTTAAACGTAATTATGATGACAAATATGTTATAAGTTATGGGAGTGCGATGCAACCAGAAGACTCAAACGCGCAAGGAAATTGGTAAAAAGATTCAAGCATGTATAAAGAAAAATCGTGGAATGGATTTACTGCCCTGATGAATTAAATGCTCAGAAACTCGCCTTACACTATGCATGTTTACAAAATATTAAAGCAGAAATGCACCAGATTAGTAACGTACCTATTCAGCGTAAAAGTATTATTGCTATGCCCAAATGTCGCCTCTATTTTTCTAATTTCAAAGCATGATCCCAACCCAACCGAATATATAAAGAATCGTCTTTCTCTCTAGTCAAGCCCATTACAATGAACTGCCTAACCTTGTGAATTCTTGTCAATTATATCAACGGCGTTACGTCATTTTTTTGTATAACTTCAACCAGTTCATTTATATCAAAAAGTACACTATAATCTAAAATTTTTCTTATTATTTCGGACAATCGAAAAACTCTGGGTTACGTAAATTGAATTTATGTTGGAGTGGCGTCCCTCAGTGAAGTAAGGGATAATTTTTTCCTGTACCTTTTTAGGTTCACTCGCATAAATCTTCGAATATAACCAATGT